ATTATGTATATTAGACTGAAATAATTAACAGTTATAAAATAATCAATTAAACTATAAACTAATTAAATACTGACAGCCAAGTACTTTGAATTTCTCCTAGCATGCCGAGCACTAGTGATTAATGTACCGTGGTGGCGTAACTGGCTTAGCAGAAGTATGATTCGTACTTACTCCCTACGCGCGTGACTGCCCTTTTGTTGCTGGCAACGCATATACGCACCGATTACTGTACTGAGACTGTAAAGGACAGCACTGCATTGCTTCAACGATTAAAATGATGCACGATGCATCTCTGCGCTAAAAATGTCTAATTAGCATGAAAGCTTGGCCTACCTGCTCAGGTCAACAAGTGCAAGCGGCGTTGCCACGATCCAGAAAAATAATTACGTTGTTATGCTTATTAACACACTCCCTGTGAACGGCGTGCCTTTTCTGTTATCATATGTTGACCCGTTAGCATAAGCAGAACCTGGTTTGTTATTTCCGCTATATTCCCAATTTTACAATACTTTTGTTATAAGACAACGGCTAATGCATCGCAGAATGAACAATTCCTCTGCGAAAGTGGTCTACCACTACGCTGTCCATCCGTGTTGCATGCTGACCTCTCGGTCAATCTGCCATGTTTAGGCTGCCACGTGAGAACCTCGTGGGCTGGAGTAAACTTTAAACTAGTGACTATATCTAACCAGTTTGCTTAACAGTGCCTATCTCTATCTCCGCATATATAGGAAACAGCTTAGACTGGAAATGATAGGGTCGTTTCTAACGCAGACTTGCTCTTTAATCTTAATTGAGTAAACACTTTAGAGCAGTTCAACAGTCATTCTTGCTCCTTCGTTAGTAAAACTGTATCCATGCAGTACAACAGTACTGACCTAAAAGAAGCAAGGAACAAATGAATTTTGGCGAGAAGAGTTACTCCTTCTTCAGCCAAAATACTGGCCAAGTTACGAAAGCGCTCGCGGCTACGGCGATCCTCCTATTTAACGATTCTTGGATTGTGCCGATGCTGGAAATGATGAAACCGAGATACTTAAACTGGCCAATCTCCCCATTCCAATCACATATCAGCTATACAGGTTAAGTTCCTCAATTTTTGACTACCGGTTAAAGAAGAGACCTACTTTCCAGCTGCCGTGCACGGAAGCCGCCAGGTGACGAAGCCCGTTTACCGTTCTATTTACCAAAACAACATTATCTGCGTATTTCAGATAAATAAAATATCGAATTGAATATCTAGAACAGAACTTTTCCTTCTAGAATGAAATCTCGTCTTAGCCACGGTCAACACTGTTCTGGAAAAGAAACTTGAGAACATGTTGACTAGTAAAGGCGAAAGCACGTTTCCCTGGATCCACAGTTAACAGGGAACCATTCGAAGCATTCCTCTTCTGCTTTATTACCAGAGATGGTTCAAGCATATCTCTTTCAAAATTGAAACAATGTATTCAGGTAAGCCACAGTATTTTAAGGTTCTCCACATCGTTGAACAAAGCTCTGAATTAAATTCAGCCTTAAAATCACAAAAAAGAGACAAACCAAGGAAACTGCAATCGTCGGCATTATTCCTACTAAGAAAAACTTTGGTCAAGCAGGAAAACCTCGTCAGGAAGCTTTGTTCAGAGTTCGTACGTACGGACCTAGAGATCTGATGGTGTTGATAAAGCATACAAAGTGTACCGAATCCTTTGAAAAAATATAAAAAGAGTAAAATATTGCTGATCCCAAGCAAGGCGTTGCTTTAGCCAACAAAATGATAAGATATACATCTGTGGACTGCAACTGTCAAACTTCCACGAAATCATGGGGTGTTTTAAAAGCCCCTTAAAAAGCTAGGAAGAAATAAGCACGTCTTCTTCAACGTAAGGGAGGTAGTAGTTACTAGCAACCGCAAACAATCATTTAATTTATGTTGAATAAATCCCAAGTCATTCCTGCAATAGAATTGCACTCACTACGATATTTCCAATGCAGAGTCAAGATTCTGAAGCTGCTAAAGCAACATGCAAGTTGTTACGCTGATGAAAGATATCCACGTTATCAATTTTAACTTTCTTCAAACTTTTTCCTACTTACTACTAGGAAAAACTATTTATGCTGTTGCGAGCCATCTGCTTTATATTTTTCAGCATATCCTAATCGATATCCTCGTGAAAACAACGTCTTTTCTCTTATCGTACTCTCTGTTCAAAGAGGCCAAGTTCATTACAGATTACAATCAACAGAAAACCATATGACTATTCATCGAACAGGAAACAAAAATCGTCATGCAACGGACTATTTAAGGGCCAAATCTAAACAAGAGAGGTTTTACTTTGTACAGAGATCAACAGCAGACGGAAATAAAACCTCAGTTCGAAAAATGCCTAATAAGGTCCTGTGCGGTTTGTAAACTCTCTTCTGGTTTGGGTTAAACATTCATTACAAGAAAGTTATAAAAGAAAATAACTTTGTCATACCTGTTGCAAAGGTTTGCTTCATATGGTGAAAGACCATACTTTCGTATGAAAAATAGCCTAATCGTTCATCGTTAACCAGACGCAGTCTACGAAAATACACTTACAGCGCATTAGACACGAATGGGAAGATCGACGTGTAGTAGGTAACACAGATGAAGCACAGAAGCCACAACTTCGGCGACAAGTGCAATATGTCGGAACAACGAACCTTTTCTGATTCTTCAGACGATTCCGAAATGTCCTCATCGATTGCCAGCATCAGGGCAGCAGTCTTATGGCGTTTCCTTTGACGATCACAGGTTACCAGCACCAACGAGCACATCCAGGAAAGGAATGCAAATGCAGCCGCTGCAAGTAAAAATTTCATACGTTAATCACATACTCATCAAACTGTGTGCTACATCGAACGACAGGAAAACGAAACTTACCGACAAACATTGTCATTCCTAAACAGACGTGGCCGTGTATGTACTGGTCGATGAGCGCGTAAATGGGCCTCATGATATTCAGCGTGATGGTGCTGCCCTAAAAGAGTCAGTGCAACGGACAGAAAGACAACTGACGGATGAATGAAGATTACCACGCGACCGAAACTCAAAGCGAAACCGAAAACAAAGTTAAGCTCTTTGCCTGAAAACCACTTAACCAGATATATATTCTGAACGAGCGTCAGGGATTCGCCACCTAAACTGAAAAAAAATGAAGTCAGAAAATACATGTACAGTCCTTTCAGTGTAGAAATTCAGCTTATGGATAAAATCGCTTTCCTTCGAAAGTGCATAATTTATGACTACAGGCACGATGCTTGTTCAAAGAATCTTACATCATGCAATATTTACAACTCAGGTGTAGACATGTGTCTTTTTCTCACCTGCATGGAAGTGAACATCTTAATTCTGGCTTTGGCAATATGGCAATCGATCTAATTCATTCCTGCGCATTCGATACGTTATGAAACACAGAGAAAGCAAACAGCCAGGCATTTAATCGAACTGCAGCTGTTCAGTAAACTGATCTGAGAACGTCGAGATGTAAAAGTTTATTTATACAAGTAACTGAAAGTGGTACACAGTTGAGGTTTCGGATCGCGCCCACAGCGGCAAAAACTGTGATATGACTCATCCGGAAATATGGCTGTTGTAATGTATACAAACATATTCAGCATCTACTTAAAAACTGACTCGAACTATTATGCTTGAGCCCGGATATCAGAGTAATGACCCATCCATCGGTGCGCTAGTTACAGACATGAACAATGCTGACTATCTTAAACTGTAATAAAGTCAGAAAAAGATTTGAGGACATTAACAGACAGAATTATCCAACGTCAGTTACGCGCTAAGAATGGAACCATTAAAACGTAAGGATTCGCCTTCATCAAATCCCCCAAAAAACTGCTTGCCACAGAAAGATATACTGAGAAAGTTTGCAAGATAACAAATTTTGCTATTTGAATCCAAGCACAGGAAGCTGTGAAACAGATTCTCAAGAAAGAGTCAAGAAGGTTCGACCTGTTTTTTACAGCAACTATCTTTGTAAAAAATTGCTGTCTGCAAGTCGGTGAAGTTTCATTAACATCTGACGATTATCCGATGAGTCCTGACATATGCCACACAAACACGAATTTTTACACAAGAAGGAAACTTATGCACCAGATGTGCTTGAATGATCATGGCAGCACAGAATACTTCCATTCACTGGAAAAGATCAAACTATTAACCAAATGAAAACAAGCCTTGATCAAGGAACAGCGGCGAATGGCCACAAGAAACGAGAGGATAGCGAGAAATTTGTGGGAAATCGAAGAAGTCACTGTCAAATCACTCGCATTCTCGATCATTATTCGAGTCAACTTTCGACGTTAAAACACTCACGCAAAAATGCCTCTTCCCACAACCATCAGCCAAAAGGCGTTTGTAAATGCGCCAACGGCGACGATGATCTAGATTTGAATCTTTTAAACCTATGATAAGAGCAAACATCTATTAAAACTTTTACCTGTGCACTCATCACAATGAAGGAGAATATGACACCGCCCAGTCGTATACCACATACATTGTCAATCAGAACTCCGGCGAAGAACGCAAGAATGACGTTCGGCCAAGAATAAATATCGTACAACAAATTGTAGGAGCTGGAAGAGACTTCCATGTCCTTAAAGCCTTCGAATTAACATAAAGCTTCCACAAACACGTGCAATATATGCAATCTCGATACCAGGACAAATGTAACAAAATATGTAATGACTGAAGAAGCCAATACAATATTCATAAACTGGTGTCCTGTTAATCAGTTGAGAATATTAATTTCAAGTTTGCAGTTAAAGGACGTCTTTGTTCTGTTATGTTCGCTGCACTTTAAGTCTTTTTGTGCTTCCGTTATAAAGTACCTTATACTGACGCAGAGACGGAACAACCACTCTCCGAACACAGATCTGTTTTTCTTGTTCGTCCACGTTTCCTGTTGGCGTCATAATCGACGTTTGCTGCGCTTCATTTACAACATAGAGGCTCATGGGTAGGAAAAAATTCTCGCAAAGTCTATTTTTCTGACAAAGCGAATTTCCTTCAGCTAATTTCTAACTGATCTAAGGATACCTGAACCTAAAATTCGCTCAAAAAATAGTCCTGCCATTTAACCCCATTATGCGTCATAGTCAAAGTTGCTAAACGCTGTTCAACTGTCTTTAATGATCATCTGTTAAAACTACGATCTGCTTGATACAGAACACCTGCATGACTGAAGAAAGGAACAAGTTCGGTGAGAAGGGATGCTCCTCTATGAGCCCAAATAACTGACAGAGTACTGATAAGGCGATCCTCCCATTTAGCTAGAATCAACTAGTACTGGCGCTGAAACAATACATCTCAACTGTCATACATCTCTTCCACTGTTTAAATTCCCTGTGGCACCTGTGGTATGATGAATATGTTACTGGCTTCCACAGCTTTATACTTCTGAATGCTATCTGTGACCGACTTTCCCTGAGATACTCAGTACTGAAGCCGTCTGGTGTTTAAACATGTTTCCCGTAATACTCATTAGAACATTATCATCTCTGTGTTCTGGACAGCCAGATATCTCGCGGAATATTTTTAACTGCCTTTCCTCTCTGAAATGAAACCTTCTTCAACACTCAGAACGTGTTGAACAACAAAAGCAAAGGTAAATCTCGCTAACGGACTTTTCAATTAATAGGAATCCATCCACGTTGTTGTCCTTCTATTTTAATGGCAGGCGTTAGTCCTTCACGCATCGTTTCAAAACGGACGCGATTTTTTGAACATATCATTAAAAAATGAAAAATGTGCAGGGAAGATAACAAGAAAGTCAAAGGTAACAGAAGCGATGCAAGAAGAATGGTATCTAAAATTTGATAGCGACACCGACTGTTTTTACCACTATGACCCCAAAGAACAGTGACAATAGTGTGTGCACTTTTATCATGTCTGTCATTTGAACAGAAGATAAGGTTTACTTTGCTGCGCAAAATGTGAACATTCCAAAAGAGTTTAAAATTTCTGAGTTTACCCCAACCAAGGACTTCAACGCTGACTTCTGGTAATTATTCCTACTTTATATTGATTTACTTATACTTCCAGGTCACTTCGTCTCACGCCGCCACCTAAATTATGTTGCTTTCACATTTCTACATGTTCTGTTGATGTAAATTACATCCGCTTCATATACATTGCATTTAGACCGGTAATTTGCGCGATCACTACTGCTGAATTAGTGACAATCCAATAAGACAACGCATGAAATAAAATGACTGCACGACAAATACCTGAACTATGTTGTCCGACAGAGCTGCAGGCGTGTCATAAACCATATAGTTGCCTAAACATAAACAACCAGTTATAAGTAACGTGTGGAAACAGTTGTACCAAAATTGAGGAAGCATATCAGTGCAAGAACGAAGTAGCGGCATGTCGCTTTGCGTGGATCAACGGACGTCGGAAACCACCGGTCGAAAAGACAATCGGCCGGCTGTATAAACGTCGCTACCACTCCATCGACCATCGCATTGGACTGCTCAGGTTCGTCATCAGACGCCATGCGAAGCAAC